ATTTGAGGCCTCATGTAATTGTAGATTGTTAATATATTTGGCTCACTGTTGTGTATCACTTCATAAACTTGAAACTGATTATTGAATCTGTTGTTTTGATTTAATACTTTTCAGTTTACAGTTTGGTACTCACTTGTGTTTGCGAGAGTCGAATTTGTAGAATATATCTGATCATATGCAGAATTATAAGGTCAACAATATTATGTAATTCAGTATATATAAATATCTGGTTGTAAACTTTTGTTTTCTCTTTAGTTTATATGTGGAAATGTGAAAGTTCTGAGAGTCTTGGATTAATCTTGCATTGTAGCTGCAGAGAAACATATTGCTGACATCTCTATATGGAACCTGTATAGTTTAATGGCACCTATACATGGAACGTCAGACATTGTCCAGCTGAGGTTAGATTTTTTAAAACTCATAGCTTAGTTTCGTTTGATTAGTTTGTTTGGTGTTTGTGTTTATTTGGTTGTTTTCGTCAATACTTGATAATAGTAGGAAGGAAAGATGAATCTCAGTTGAGTTGTTTAACCAAAATGAAAATCGGTTTAAGTGTTCATGTAATACTAAAATGACACTATACTAATTCTAATTTATTGAGAATATGAAGTGGAAGTAATGAAACTGTTGAATCAGAATTGAACTTTCTTGTTCATCGGTTAGCTTCAAATGTGTCCTCTGTTGATATTTAACCTGAACCTGGAAAAGAATTTGAAAGAGCTGGTTTCAATCCGTGTGTAAAAATGTATCTGTATTTAGCTATGCAAGATATAATTAACTTAAAATACAAAGTATAAGAAATATAACGTTAAACCTTGTTGCTCCCAAACGGTCTGACTCGATGTTAGTCAGTTAATGTTTTCAAAGACTTCTTTGAAAACAACATTTGTTGTTTGCTTTTGAATCTTTCCCTCTTTGTCTAGAATGATTATTTTTAAGCCTTTCTTCGATGTAACCCTAGACAATGCAACATAAAGCTGGCCATGAGAGAAAACAGGTTTAGGCAAGTAGAGACCTACGCGTTCTAGAGATTGTCCCTGACTCTTGTTGATGGTCATAGCAAATGCAACCGATAGGGGAAACTGTCTTCTACGCATTTTGAATGGCAGCTTTGTATCAGAAGGTGTTAGGTTGATGTTGGGGATTAAAACAATCTCACCACTTCTGTCGCCTGTTATCACTCTAGCTTGCACAACATGATTAGCCAGCTGAGTAATTTGTAGCCTTGTCCCGTTGCATAGCCCACCTTTAGGGTCAATGTTCCTTAGCAACATAACTGGTGCTCCAATTTTCAAACGCAAGGCATGGTGTGGCATTCCGGATAGCTTGATAGAATTTAAAAAATCTGGAGTGATGACGGGATTCTTTAATGCGTCTGAATCTGTTGGATCTATGCTATCTGCACTTAGATATACCCTTTCTTCACCTTCAACCAAAAAAATATAAAGTTTTTTAGTAAAGTAGGGTCAAATCGAACTCTTGTAATATACGTAAGTAAAACTGTAAGCAAATTGTAATAGTAGACTTACTGTTCAAATGCTCCAGCATGTAGTGGTTAATTGTGTTCACATCCTCATTCTTTGGTGCTAAAATAGCTCTTTGTTGGAAAAACTTTGATTCGTTTATTTCGTGCAGCTTAGTAGGATCTCCATAAACTTCTCTAGTAATAGCTTCAATAGGATTATCTGCATTTGTTATCAACAAATCTTCTGGGATATCGATAAGTGCCTCACCATCATTTGGCTCATTAATCCTACCATCACCAACTGCTAATAACCAATCTGAAAACTGTTGGATATGTGTAGCTTCATCTTCACTTAAGTTGCCAGATAGGAGGCGCATATTTTTCGTTAATCTTAGCACTTTACAATGATCCCAAAGGTAAGAGGCATTTAGTGCTGACATGAAAATCTCTGCCCTTCCTGCGCCAATTATAACTGGTAGAACCTGCCTGAAATCACCACCAAACACCACAACCTTACCACCAAACACCTTGTTGTTTGTGTTTCTGATAATGTCTGAGAAGCTCTTATCTAAAGCTTCGAAACAAAACTTGCTCATCATTGGGGCTTCGTCCCAGACAATCAGAGAGGCTTCTCTTATCAGATTTGCTAAATCTGACTTAGGTTTGATTTTGCATAGAGCAAATTCGTCAGGATTCAATGGAATTGAAAACCGAGAGTGTGCTGTCCTTCCTCCTTCTAACAACAATGATGCTATACCACTGGACGCGACATTTAAAACTATCTGTCCTCTAGATCTAATAGCAGCTGCAAGAGTTTTCCATAAAAATGTTTTCCTTGTTCCTCCAAATCCATAAACAAAGAAAACACCACCTAAATCCTTGAAAACAGCACTTGTGATTTCCTCGTATATACCTCTCTGCTCAGTAGTAAGCTTTGCAACCCATTCAGTATGTTTCTCTTCCAACTCGTCCCTATTATATCTCATCTCGTCAACAATTAATCTATTGGAATTGTCAATACCTTCTCTTGATGGCTGTGGGAAATTATCAATGCCCTGGAGAGTTCCACCATTAAACAACATAATTTTTTCTATTTCCTGAAGAGTGTAATTCTTCATCTCAGCCTCTGTTAGTGTAAGATCTGCATATTACATTTACAACGCCATTAATGATATTAAATAGTTAATTGCCAAGCTAAATCTCGATTTAAACTAAATAGACATTGAAAGAGGGTACAATATTCTTATTACCTGGGTTATTGAAGTCTTCTTGCTTTTTTTTCTCAATATCCTGGCTTAAAAGTTGCCACGTCTCTGCCCATACTTGCTCCGGTCTAGATAGTGAATCAGATAAAATCATCATAGCAAAAAAATTACGCAGATAGTCTCCAAAACAAAACTGGGACGCCTCGACCAGACTGTCTATAAACACTTGATCATCATCTAGAATTCCACGTGCAAAACAGGCATCTTTGTAAGTTTCGTATACTACACCATCATACGTTTTGATATCGTCAAATGTTGTTGGACCTCTAACAATATTAAGCAGCACACGAAGATAGTATTCATCTTCCATTTTCCTTGGAACGTAGTTTATACGACCAATTGAAAAACCTCTTGATCTCTTACAGAACTTTTTATTGTTTCCATCCCAAGTAAAATATGCTGGTATCTCAGCATACAGTAGATCTCTTGCACGTTTCCCTTTCTTGCCAACTGCATTATTCCTATTCAACGTTAGCCAAGCCATAAACATAGAATCTTGGTTGGCAATACGGTCGAGGACATCGTCAATATGTGCTTCTGAATCAAAATACGCAGGTTGCTTCCCTTCGAGATGAAAAGATAATCTCTGAACTGGTGTAGATCTATGTTGCAAAGGAAACTTAAAAATCCTCCAAATTGCCTCTGATGCTGATACATATCTAAAAATTTGCCAAACAAATTCCAGTTATTCACATTAGACTCCGCACACAATCAAAAAGATTTGATGACTATAGTTTAAGATTATTACCTGCAATCGAACCAGTCTTTAATTTCGTTCTTTTTTTTCTCAGTTGGACTTGATTCCTGCCCTGTAGTTGCACTTGAATCACTTGTGGCCTGATTAGCGGGTTCAACTATAAATGTGACACGATCTGGTCCTTTGTTTATATACTTAAATAAGTATTTTATACTCCCATTCTGATTGCACCATTCAACGTTGATATGAGCCTGATATCGGAGTGAAAGCTTCTTATTGTATGGAACCACATACCTGTTGTCACATTTAAAGCCACCCTTCTCAACATAATCAGCTGTTTCCCTTCTTCTATAGATAGGGTAACCGTCACTTCCAACCTTAGTGATCTCTTGGAATTTTTTAGGATAATGCTTCGAGCATGATCCATCAACCATACACGGAGAATTAGGATTTGCTGCACCACATGGACCGTGTATCATAGAGTTTTTGATAACTTCATATAGTTCTGGTTCCTTTTCTTTATCTGGAATCTCAGCAGAAATCATCTTGTCGATGTCGTCTGCTGTTGGGAGCTTACTCTTAGCATCCATAAAGAGCAAAATGTGAGCATGTGGTAACCCTCTTTTCTGAAATTCAACGGTATACATAGCTGCAAAACATTTATGGAAAAACCACCCGAAAATTAGTCTTATTAGTTGAAATATTAGACGCTTACATTTAAATAAAAGAGATCACGTACATGCTACTGCCTTCCCAAGCATTTTCCTTTCTGTCAGGTCTCTCATTAGAGAGTCCAACTTTATCTTGAATATCCTAGCAACAATATCTGGTCTGTCCTCAGCTGTTAACCCTCGGGTTTGGCAATATCTCGTTATCTCTGGCCATTTAGGGTTACATGTGAATGTGATAAATAGGTCTGGGAATCCGTAATGCTTACAGATTGCCATTGCGTCATAGTAAATTTGAACCATATACCGAGGACCACCCGTGAAAGAAGTAGGAATCAGTAATTGGTTACCTTCTTCACCCAATGAGGTTGTTCCTGATTCAGCTGCTTTTTTGATGGAGTCAAAATTCTCACACCGAAGCTTTGACTGGTTAAATTTGATGTACGATAGCCGGTTTGATTCTATTGTGGTGTAAGCATCACACAAAAACTGCTGAAACAACCTCTTTGAACGCAAAAGTGTATGACACTCGTTTTCCCTCTCTTGTAACCGGAATGCAAACCATTGTCTCATGCTGATGCATTTCTTCTTATTCTTCCTTGATTTTGCTGGAATATTGCATTTTTCTATCCCAGGTCTATAGCCATCTTCACCATAGCAGAAAATTAGAGGATATTGTAGTGCTAAGTAAGATATATGAATTTGGCTTATCCTCTGTAAATGACCAGTACTCTTTTCTTGGATAACTATGTCACGGTCAGGCATTTGTTTGATGAAATCTCCTGGAATTAAAGCAGCTACTTCTGATGAAGTAGGTATACTATATGTCCTTCCATCTACACCCTTGCGATCTGCGACAATACGCATGTGGAAAGGTTCATCATTGTTAGATTCAAACCTCTCTCTCGCGGACCTGAACGTCTGGACATAAGGATTATGGTCGTTAAGCATTTCTATCAGTGCTTCAATGACTTCCTTTTTTAGCTGTTTTCTGGCTGAAGTTGGTGCAACATTTTTACCCTTGCTACACAAAGTTTATACAATTATCAGATTAGTTAGTGAGATTACATGAGAATCTGTTATTGAGTTAAATATCGAAATGGTATAGTAGCTTTATTACCTGATGACCGTAGCTCGATTATCGACTTCGTTCTGAGTATCCACAATATATAATTGAGAATATTTAGCATAATCTCCCGCTTCAGGCTTTAAACTACCAATCAAGTGATAGTTTCCTCCTTGCAAGCGAAATGCTGTAGGTCCTTTGCCTTTTGCTACAGATTTGTCAACTTTCCCCCCTAGTGATGTCATTGCAAAAATCATATTAAAGATTCGCAAATTATCTCTAAAATGTTTGCTGAGAGCATCATCACCACTTAGAAGCTTCTTTATTAACTCTGGAGACTCTTTAAGAAAGGGCAATTTAACTTGTCCTTGTCCACAACATAGTGTGAACGTTGGCTCCTCCTGGTTGCGTCTCTTGCGAATACGCTCATCATACCACATCAAAGCACCACAATGTTTACATTTGTATGTAGCATCTCCATGATCAAGATAAGCTGTGGAATCAAGTTAAAATTAGTATCTAATTTATCTAGATGGGTTATATATAGTATAACCCAGCACGTGTATGTCATAATGATAAAAATTTGTAAACCTTTTTGGTTTGAGTTGCTTGCAGCCGTGGTTGCATTTTTATTGAGTCTTGGTCTGCCTCTTTTTTTTTTAAGTGGAGCAGTTTCAGTGCTGGCAGCTTTGTGTGTCGTTTTGTCCGCTATTTTACCAAGTAAGGCCATGAATCTGACATGGTCTTGTGCTGTAATACATTCTTGTGTTATAACCTTCTCTTGGACAGTATCAGAACCTCTGATTGCAATTTCAGGTTGAACTGAAATGTTAACTTCAGCCGTGTCATCTTCAGTTTCATATTCTGATTGACTAAGATAGTAATCTTGTTCGACCTCTGATTCACTTTCATTGAATATATTGTTGTCAATATCTTTGTAACTTTCCTCAGATTATGTGCTACTGTCATTGAGGTCATCTCTTAATCCTGGACCTATTTATTCAATACGTTTTACAAAATTAGCATGATTGTTAAGACATTTGTACTTAATTAGTATTAAAATTGAAGTGCATGAATCAAGTAAAATCTTACCTTGGCAATCAGTAGAGACAGATGCAGTTTCAAAAGCTTCAGACAGATTTTTCCTAGGCAACTTGTTAGCTTTGCTAAGGTTTACCCGTGTATTGACATTGGTAAGACACGATCTCCCCAAGCCTCTCCGATTTGCTGCAGATTGAATGACCATGTCTGTATGTTATATATTGAGCGGGCATGAAGTTTGTTTTAATACCACTTCTCAAATTAGTAAAACTCACCCTCACTTTCATTCAATACAGGTGTGTTGTATTTGGCAGACAGTGTAGCTATGGTATCAACGGGAGTAGCTTGGTGTTCTATATTGGTTATGTTTTGAAGCACAGGAGTGACAAAATTGTTGGTATTTAAGCTACCATGATTGTCGAATGAAGACGTGGATAAGTTTGAGCCTGAAACTGGGAAGTAAAAGATTGTTTTCAGTTTGAAATAAGCGTTTCATATAC